GGTCAGAAAAAGTCTAAGCAATCACATACTCTCTCTGTGGGCCTATTATTACCTCCTTGAAAGCATGCATGCTATCTTTATGTTAAGAAAAGGAAAGGGACATTGGGTAAAAAATGTATAATAGTTGATCCAATTGGTCATGCACAGGTGAATTTCCTAATCAAGAACCATCATCACAGTGTTGCAACGAGATGCACATCAGAGCTTATGAGTTTCACTAGAAAATGTCATTATTTAGAACTGTTTTGCAAAGATCCTGAGGGTATTCTATGTCTGCATTGTTTAACAATGGCCACACGTGTCTGTTGAGCACTTGAAGTGTGACTAAGGAGATGGATAAGTTGATTTCTAAATTTTACTTCACTTTAATATAGTTACATATTCCCTTGAGGAGGCAGCTCCACAGCATTCTTAGTGAGTGCTTTGAAGTGAGCCACATCCTTATACCCACCCCCTTTTGTGAGACAGGCTCTTGCTAATTCAGTTGCCTGGGTTGAATTCAAACTTGTGATGCTCTCAGCTCATCCTCCAGATGTTAGGGTGACAGGTATCTCCATGCCTGGCTTTCTGTATAATCTTCTGAGACAAAACAGAGTCTTGCTGCATTCTTCCCCTACTGGATTTTCTATCTGTTTGACTTTTCTTCCTGCACTCTATTCACAAATCTTGGAAATTCTCACGACTACACAGTCTCTAGGCAGACTCAATCATTTCTAAAGCTTTAAATACCATCTACTTTTGTAAACTCCAACATGTAAATCCTCACAGCCTGGCCCCAGCCTCGGAGGATCAGGCTTTTGTTCCACTGCTTACTTAGCATCACAATTAGTTGTTTTAAGAGTATTTCACACAAGAGATTCAAAACAAAACCTGTTTTCCTTGCTCAGTCTTTCTCTTTGGAAGTTTCCATATTTGATTAATTGCATCATTTATACAGTTTTGATAGCCAAAAAGCAAGTACCTTTTTCTATAACTTAGCATATCCAGCCCAAGAGCCTGTCATACAGGCATTATTTCTGCCAGCAAACTAGAGCTCCCTGAATCCTCTGCATTTCCTCTGCCACCCCCTGCTTGGAGCTGCTGTCATATTTCACTTAGACAGCTGTGATAACCTTCACACATTCTCTAAATCTACATCCTCGCAACACACACTAATCTAGCCCAGTTGCTAAAATGAATTCTCAAATTGTTAATCATGTCACATTCTTGTCTTGCTTAATACCCTCTTTCATTTCCCATTTCCCATTCCCCTTAGAATAAAATTTAAATTCTTTACCAAGAATAAACAGTATACTCTGTGTCTCGTTCCTGAATATTGTTCCAACTATATTATTTATCTCATAATTTTGTTCATTTTTCTCCAGATACGTTGGCCTCTATCGCCTGTACCATGCCCAGCTCTTCCCCATCTCCAGGACTTTTCATTCACTTTCCTAGCCTGTGTTCCTAGAACACTGGCTTACTGGCTCTTTCTCATTCTTGTGGCTTTGCTGAGCCTTTCCATGACCATCTTCACTTGCAGCTTCTCACTGTTGCATATATGAGCATTCTCTTGAAGTCTTCTTTGACTTAAGCGTATTCACTTGTTGTTATTTGTTCCCTCTTGTGTACCTTCAGGCCCTTGAAACAAGAACATTACTATGTTCTTGTTCATTACTATGCCCTAAACTGCCAACGTCATGTGCATATGCAACAGATATTTCTTGATCAACTGACTAAATTATGAAAATGTATAAAGATGAAATTATTGAAAGTTTGTTTTCTAAATTTTTGGTAAGGGACAGTCACATAATGATAAATCAAAGCATTTAAGTACCAATGCATTTTGATGATTTCTGGGCCAGTTGCCAATTAAACTTTGATAAATGAGCTAATAAATGAAAAACAATCTCCTATTTTCTTGCATATAGATTTCATATTAAATGACCTGCTCTGTGGAACCAGCATGAATGACTCATTCTGTCATTCTCAAGGAGTCCTGAATCAAAAGCAGAATGCCTTCTTCTTCCCTAGAGATTGATTGAATGATTCCAGGATGGATGACAATTATTACTAGCCCAGGGCCAGAAACAAAGATGAACACCTGAAAGCTCTGTAGTTCAATGAGGTAGACCCTAGGAGCTCTCTTTTTTATGTTTTTATACCTCAGACTCTACTTCTGAACATGGACAACTTTTTGTTAAAGAGATTTGCACCTTAAGTGGACTTTACTTTTAATAAGACAAGTCAAGAGATAATCAATGTAAAAGCTATTCATTGAGTTAATTGTCGTTAGGGGGCACTAACTCTCTCACTTGGCTTTGCTCTGTGAAAAGGAAAAATAAAACAGTAACTCAAGAACTGTTCATTGCCTTTGAATAACAATCCATGAGTCAAGTGTCCTAGAATTAATGCAGGTCTCTAGGCTTGGATTTGTTCAGAAGAGAGTGAGAAGAATATTCTCATAAAGGTAAACTCAGTCTAGTGTTGGTGTCTTTTGGGACCCACTGGGTCAAAGGGAGGGTGTTTGGCTACATAAAAACTACAGACCTGAATCAACATAAATTCCTACTCTCAAGGAATATAGTTTACGAATGCATTCTGTTGCCAGATGATAGCAAATTTTAAGGCAGAAGGCAAAACAGTTCCCTGGAAAGTGAAAAACAGAACAGTAGAGATCCAAAGAAGTGAAGTTTCTCCCTGAGTGTATTAGAACAATCGTCATAGAGTTGTAATTGCTTTTTCTAAGCTTGGGCAGTGAACTAAGAGTTGAATACATAGGGTGGGAAGACATTCTTAGTTCTCCAAGAGCTGAAGGTCAGAAAAAGAGTAAGCTGTGCGGGGAATAATGAACTGGTTAGTTTGGCTAATGGGAGAAGGGAAAGGTTAAGACAGAATGGTTGCTTGGAGCACTACTTTTAGGAATGCAAACTAACAACCAAGTGAACTCCCTGTTGTGAGCATCAGTGTACGGTAAGGAGGAGAGGCTTTGACTGTGACATGAAGAGAGCTGTGTGGTAGGAAGCTCTGGACAAGAGCACTGGGGAGAGAACTGAGATAGGAGAGACTCTCTGAGTTTATGATGGTGATGTATATGGAAATGTTTTGGGAACTTTAACAGGACGTGACAAGTTTCTCAATTGGGAAAATTGGGGAGATTCAAAAGTTATTCACAATGTGTGACTGGAGGCAGAGTTGTGTCTTCAAAAGAAATGGGAAAATACAGAACAGTAGCTCTTGGAAAGAGCTTGAGAAAATTCAAGGGGAATGTTAACAGAACACAAAGTATGGATTCAAAGGAGCAGAATTTGGGTGAGATTTGAGGCCAAGGATATGGCCTACAATCACTGTGATAATCAGAAATCCTGAGCTGATGAATTTTTTTATAATTCCTCAAAAAATTATATCAAGACAAATGAAGATGGTGAAAGATACACAGTTGGAGGTACCTGTGTTCACTGGATCAGAAAATGGGTAGAAGAATAAAGACAAAGGAAAAGTGTTCAGGAGCAAGGATAGTCCAGTGTTATGAAGACAAGTTGAGTAGATATTTTGAAGGAGATAGTGCTCATTTGTCAAATCTGTACCTCAGATGCTGCAGAATTTGACAAATATAGAAACTTTTAAAAAGTTTGCAAAGTGGATCAGCTTCTAACATGAAATCTGGAGGTGGCGTGACATGCGGGAGGTGGTATGGGCATGGAAAGCAGGAAGCCCAAAGGAAGTTCTGATCCTGTGTGGCTGAACTATATTACTGAAAGCAACAGTATTCTCTCTGGGGCTTAGTTTTCAGACGAGAAAATGGTGCAGGGTGTGGAATAACAAACTCAGAGGAATCTGGAGAGAATAAATTTAATGCATTGCTACATAGAGAAGAAGGTGCTGGAAGCAGCTCTGATCCAGAATTCCGCAAAACTCATCTTCCATTTGCTTTCCATTTACTTGCCGATAGTTGCATGTTATAGAAAACTACTACTTGGATTCATGGGTGCTTATATGAAATTAATCATAACAGTGAATTTCAAACAAGTATTAGTCACGAGTCCCGCCTTACGCAGAGAGGAGTGTCACAGAGCATGTGGAGCAAGGGTTGCTCTTAAAGCGCACACCAGAGAAAATGGTCCTGAGACAGTCAGCGGCTCTGAAGAGGCTACACGAGGGTAGTGCACTCCCTGCGAGATTAGGACTGTGGTGCCCAGGGTTGATTTTGTATCTCCTAGAGCAGAGCAAATGTTCCATTATAATGTCAGAGCAATTAATTGATTCAGAAGAGATCTGGCCACAAGGAAGTGCCTCTCTCAGAAAAAAGAACGAAGCACTGAGAAGCAAAGACTTACAATGGAAAATCATGCAATCTGATTGAATGTGGATGAAAAGCAAGGACATAGAAGTACTACTTGCTGTCTGATTGTCCCAAAGGCCATGTTGTATGTGCACCCAAAGTTAAACCCTTTAGAAAATAGGAACCAATGCTAGGAATAGTAAGAAGAAACAATAGGTCATACATGAGTCCGAGTCTGGATAATAGAGAGACATCGTTACTTCCATGCCTATCAGCTGCTGTTCGTAAGTACAGAGGTACAGTGGGAAAGTGATATGGAGTGCCTTTTGTTTTCCTGAGTAAGCCATAGGAGAGCAATTAACACGTGCTGCAAGCAAGGTGATGTGACTAGCCTGGCAAGTTGGTCTGGATGACTCGGCATGCACAGTGAGGCACAGCCCTCAGACTCCATGCAGACACAAATGTAATTGTAGATGCACTCTGTACTGAAAAACAATGGTATCATTCCATTTTAAATTATTTCTACATTTCTCTCTCTCAAGTTCATCTCCTATGATTCACTGAAATTTACTCGGTTAAGCTAGATATCTGGGGTGATATTCTTTTAAGCAATTGCATGCCAACTTGGCTATGGGTGAAAGCAAAGTGTGTTTGGTAAGAAATGAGACCCTGTGGCCTCTCTGCCTGTGTGGATCACCTACTCATTGCGCTCCCTGCCCATCCCGTCATTGCTTCACAGGTCATGGCACGTGTTCCTGTGGTCGCTGTGTTTGTGAGCGAGGCTGGTTCGGCGAGCTCTGCCAGCATCCGCGGAAATGCAACCTGACAGAGGAGCACAGCAGGAGCCTGTGTGAGTCCGCAGACGGCACACTGTGCTCGGGGAAGGGTGAGTGTCTATGCCGGTGTCTGCACTACATTCATGTTTTGACACATGGTTGCTAGGATGGCAAGTAGCCACATTTTTCCTGAAGGAAACTTTTAGGAAAGAAAGTCACCATGCAGTCTACTTGTACTCAGCCTGAGAGCTGAATATCACCCACAGGAGGGTTGGGATCTAAGATCATGAAATGCCAGAGAGAGCTTTTGTCTCCAAAGACTGCCGCTCAGCTTCTGCATCCGAAGACACTGCATCAGTGTCTGAAAGGAGAATGAGTCATCCAAAGAGCAAAGGCAGTGGAATAGACTCGGTGCTAAAGGAACCCAAGTTAGCAAGTAGCAAGAGGATCATTGTGGAGCTTATCTCTGAAGTAGCACAGCCCAGGGCTGCAGAAAAGTGGCAAAAATTAATGATTTTTGTAACTTCTGAGGCTAAATTGCACAGGTGTGTACGTAAATAAACAAAGGAGAAAGTGTGTGAGAAAGATAGAAAAAAAGCGTAGGGCTCCCATAACTCCAGTAGTATTTTCTTTGACAGGATAAATGTTATTTGTTCTAAGAGTGGCAAGTGATAATAAAGGAAAAATAATAAAAATTTTAAGTATAAATGTTTGCCTTATATTTTGATCCCAACACATGTAAGGGACTCCGCTTGAGATGCCATCACAGCTCAAGAAGGAAGTTTCAGAAATAGGGTGTGCCATGGGTCATGTGCTCCCTCTGTGGTGACTGGCACCTTCCCTGCCACATAAGGACAGACACTGAAAGAGGCTCTGGATGTAACTTCAGCCATCAAAGCAGACAGGTGCTGTGCCCACCTCTGGGGCTGAGAGGAAGGCACTGGACACAAACACCATCTTTTCAATAGATGTCAGGATCCTTGGTTTCGGGACTTCCAGGTTCTAGATTTGGCTTTACAGTGGGGGCAGGTGGGCCATGCCTACAATCTCATGTTGCGACAGCAGGCAAGAGGCACTGAGGTGAATTCAATGACTCGTTTTCCTGTTCATTGTTCCATTAAACTCTCTCAATTTGCAAGTCCCTAATGCGACTTCTTCCAGTTCTCTGCCTGGGCTGCAGCTGCTGGAAATGCATGTTATACATTCAGAATGTGTTGGGAAAATGAAAAGAAAAGAGGAAAAGGAGGTTAAAAGGAGATGACAAGGAAAGGCACTGAGGAGGGCGAGACTGATGGAGCAAAGAAGGAAAGTAGCAGGGATAGAACTAAACTGCAAGGGAGAATGAGGAATTACACTGTATGAATCAGGAGATGTTCTCAGATCAGAGGAGAGCTCAGCATGTACGGAATACTCAGGGTGATGAATTCCTTCAAATTAGGGTTGTGTCCTGAACCATAGTTTCAAAGATAAAGCTGTCAAATTTAAATGCTTGATTTTCTCCTTCTTTGGAATAAGGAGAAGAGCTTTTCACTGACACTCCTCTGAGTGAGGACTCGCACTCTTTAGAGTGCTTAGTTATATGTGTTTGTTTTAAAAGTCAAGCCCTGGTGCACGTGTGTGATCACTTGGCGGCTCCTATCAAGTCTGTAAGTCCTACAGAGGACAGAAGCTACACTTCCCAGTGTAGTGAACAACAATCGGCTTCATACAAAAGGGGTTCTTTTTCAAAGACTAAGCATTCCATTTTCATGCACTAGAGGCCCAGAAATGATCTCATTTTTCAGTTTCTTAAACACAAAATGTAGTTTTAAAAATTCAGTTGATGAAATGTTGACCTAAAGGCATTTTCCTCAAAACCAAAACATTTATCTAGTTAATGTCTTTCCAAATGGTTTGCTTTGGGTAGTGGAAATATACTCAGGAATCAATCAAAGGTTGAAATGCTATTTGACTAAACTATTTGTTTATCCTTTAATGGATAAAGTGATTATAGTCTTTCAATTTGAAAGAGGATATACAAGCTGCACACTTTGATGTCCATGAAGGTGACAGGCATCTGTAGATGCTCAGCAGTTGGTTGCGGGCTCCTTTCTTTCTTACTATTGTGGAGATGTCAGAGCAGGATTATAGGTAAGGAGAGGCTCTGAGACCATGAGCCGGTGGTCCACGTTAGCTACAGAAGTGATGGGGACGTAGCAGTTATTCCTAGTTTCCCTGTGGAGCGTCACTGAATACTACCCTGCGTCTTATGCATACACCATGAGATTTCAGTGCTGCAGTGGAAAAGAGCAAACTGCTTCAAATCATTTCACCAGAGCTATGTATTTCTGATGCACTCCATAGATGTGTCTGGATTCTATAAAAATTTCTCTTGAATTTGTAAATGAAGACCCCGTCCCTGTGCAGAAGACACTGTGATTATCAGAAAGATGTCCACAGCTTCGTCTGTCTGACTCTGGACCTGGGAGAGGGGACTTGCAGTCACCAGAGCACTGCAGCCTGCAGCCCACAGCCATGCAAACGAGTCTAAACCGCGCACTTGCCACGAACTGTGAACAAAGCTGTCACCTCAGGAGACGATGGAGAAATAGCATTTTATTTCTTTACAAATTTATAGCCAAGACAACAAATCACTCCATAGAAAAATTTAAAACAAGATACATTGTTGTGACCTTCATAACAGATGGAGTCATTAGTACAATTGTGAAAACTGCCTGCTGGGATGTTGGTTTGCAGCATTTTTTCAGGCTTGATGGATGAAAAAGAAAGGCCAACGTTAGTAATGAGATGGGTTAACTGACAAAGGTGCCTTGCCCTTAGATGCAAATTGCTTTTGTAAATAACCAAGAAAGACAAGCTCAGTGCCCAGATCATCTCTAAGTGTATCTACCTTTGCAGAATACGTGATATAATTCATGTTATATTTTTATTCTATTTCTTTAGCTGGGGATTTATTTATTTGAGTCCATAATGACATGGTAACATTTTACCTTAATGACTTAAGCCTAGGTCCACATCTTACAGTCTCACTGCTGTGTGACAATGGCTATAAATACACATCATGAAATGTCTCTGGAAGCCCTCCCAAAGCTGGCGTTGGGCCCCCTGTTATCCAGTTAGTCCAGGGTCCACCCACCTACCCACCTGGCTCTCAGTCACCCACCTGGCTTTCTCACATCCAAGAAATAAGAGAATGGATAAAAGTTATGCTTCACAAAACCAGCCTCGTCTCAGGGTTCCACATCCTCCCCATCTCAGTCAGGCTTGCCCATCCAACTTGCAGCAGCAAGCAGTTCAGTTTGGAAAGCATAGGAAAGATTCTGCTGTGAATGACATCACAAGTCAATCGTTTGGTTGAAAGGTAGACAAATCAGACTGAAATCTGAAGTTAAATGAGGCTTACTGCCTGTCTGGTTCTAGGCATTGCTCTAATTATTTGTTCCTCCATTCTCATCTTTGTAGGCAGAAATTGGCTTCTTTTCCCTTCTTAAATTCTAAGGATACTGTGAAGACACATGAGAAAATATGACTGATTCCCCAAGGATGGAAGCTAGCAAAAAGCACAGAGAGATAGGAACACTCTTAAGGGCTCACCTGATATTGGGGAAGAAAACAAATGGGTTTATGGTGCTGTGGTGAAGAACTGACCACCCTAGAGTCTCTGATAAAATGGGCCAGCTGTTACCTGTGGTGGACTGGGTCTGTGGTCCAGTGAGTCCCAGCCAGCTGAGCTGAACAATTGCTCACCTTGGGTAGTCATTCAGCCTATGCCTATCGGGTAGCATCTTCTCCCTACAGTTGACACCTTCTGGAGAGAGACAACTGATCTCCTTGTTAGTTAATGATGAGAACAGCCAAAGCTAAAGAAGTTGCCATAATAGATCCTACTGGCTACTGATGCTGTGTTATTATTGCATGCTATGCTATTCCTAGTTATGCAAGCAGTAGAAGAATTCCTACCTCTAAGATGCTTTGGACATTGACAAATAAGAAAGAACACACAGCTGGAAGAATGCTGAGAAAAGCTACTGCTTCATGGCACATACAAAATCAATCCTTTTTAAAAATTCTAAGTGCTTTGTAACTAGTAGACTTTTGGTACTGGAATTTGCTCGTCAAATACTCTATTGATATATCCATACGAACCTTGACTGAGCTAACCAGTTTTAGAAAATACTTTTCTATAGCCTGAAGCTGAGAAGTCTAGAAGCATGGGAAGTAAGGAGAGTTTTTTTATGGCCAGTGGATAAACTTAAAGAAAAATCGTAGTTTTAGAAGCAACTAAAAGGAGTACAATTCTTTCATTCATGGAAACAACACTAAGTACTGATCTTTTTGCAGAAATTTCTCTTACAATCAATGTAATGTTTTATGTTTTCCTTGTTGGAAGATATATCACTAACCATTTGTAAATCAGTATTGAGCATCTCCATGCTCAGAAATATGAAATAAAATTCTTTAAAATTGGAACATATAAATTTCCAACATAAGAATACATTGTATTCAGATGACATGGAGAGAGAGCCATTGGCTTTGCAGGTCCTGAACAGCTAGCAGGCTCCTAACCACCCATCAGAACTGAAAGATGCCAACAGTCTTCCTGAGAGCCTGCAAATCCACCCAGTTTCTGAAGAAAACGAGCCAAAACTCAAAGAAATGGTGCTGTGGTTAAGCAAGAAATTAAAAAGAAGTGCAAGAACAATTCTCATAATGACTTAAATCTGACTCTTCCCACAAGTTGGCATAAGGAATGGTACAAGTTTACTTAGACCACTGAAGATTTCTTCACCCATTATGTGTATACCAGCTTCCATGTTGTGAGCTACTACATAGGACACCCTGCTTGGGATGCTTCAATCTGAGCCACTTCATGATATGTGTGTTGTGTGTCTTCCATTCCATAATCTTTCTACTCAGGTTGTTAATAACTTTTATGCTTCAACAAAAAGACTCATGATTGATTCTTGCCTCACCCTGCTAATATAATTTGAATTTACGTAAGTTTGGAATTTTGTTAAATATATAACAATGCTGTTACTACTACATCATCTCAAAGTGATTTTTGTTTGACCTGAAACACTTAGCATTAACCATCTTTTAGTAATAAGAAAGCGCCATTAGAGAGAAGAGCCAACCTAAGAAAATGGAAGGAATTTCTTTTTTATTTTAAAGTTCTCTTTCTTGCTGTACTGGGAAGAGTCTTACCATGTGAAGATTTCTTTTTAGCATGTCATAAAAGCTATTTAGAAGAAGAGAACTTTCTTTCTTTTGACACACCACTCAATTCATCATACTTTATTTAAAATATAACATTGATACAATTATTTCTTAGTAACTAAGTATGTTAATCATCAAACAGCAAATTTTAAAAATTAGGAAGTTGGTTAAAAAAGAGGGGGAGCAGGTGAAATGGTGGGATAAATGGCTGAGCTTAGAGCTTCATAAAGTATGAACATTGAACGGGGGAGATTAGTTATCCTTAACTGTGATAGAGAACGCTGAAGACATCCTAAGAACATTACAGACATTTTGTTATCCACTCCTATACATTTGTTAAGGTATGCCTGTGTCAAAAATCATGTAAACAAAAATCCAAAATTATGAGCTAATTCAGTAGTTATTTTAATTATAAGATGCATCTTTGTTTAATAGAATATACTACTAGAAGAACAGGCACTTTAAAAACATGACTCAATTCATGAAATGAAACCTAAGAGAGGGGAAGAAATCATCTATTTTTTGCACACCTTTTTGAGAGACTGTCTGTCGGAATCAGCCATATTCTGTTCTTGTTGACATTTCAACCAGCCTGGGCCACAGAACATTTGCTCAAGGCTAATTGCAACTGTCTCGATCCATAATAAAGGCTTTGCCGGATGACCTTTATGGTTTACAGTAAGTAAAGCTCCCCTGTGAGAAATGAGCTATTCAGTACACTTTTACCTTTGGAAGATAGGTTATTAGAAGCCTATTGTCTGTGTGTCAATGATATTCTAGTCTAGATGGAAACCTTTAGTTACGCGATGATGCTGAGCAAAGCTCTTGTGATTTCAGGTTCTTGTCACTGTGGAAAGTGCATTTGTTCTGCAGAAGAGTGGTACATTTCGGGGGAATTCTGTGACTGCGATGACAGGGACTGCGACAAGCATGATGGCCTCACTTGCACAGGTGTCGTACTGCAGTATTCTGATTGCTCTGTGCCCTAAGCTTCGGTCGAGCCAAATGACACCCGGCACATGGTGATTTCGGTGACCAGACAGGGCAGGTTCCATAGAACCAAGGGCCAGCTGCTAATAGGAAGCAACTGTGAAAAAGGAAATAAACATTTGTGAATATGCACTGCCAGAAAAGATTAAATTACGTAATTGTTGGGCAATCTCTACAAGGTAACCTAGCGTCCAAAGGGATACATAGGAATTTATGTGTTGAATAGAAGTCTCTTAAGAATTACTTTACTTTTAGTGTGGCATAGCAGATGGACTATTATTTTAAACAGGATGCAAGTGCCAATAGTGTGTATAGTGGGTTGTTTTCAGGCAACAGCAAATGTGTTGGGGGAGGAGTTGACATATTGAAAGGTTCACCTCTGCATTAATCAGTGCTATTTTATTTTGCTATGTCTTAATAATTTCTTATAAAATACATTTGCTTAAACAAGTTTCAGAGAAAATGAAGTCATAGATTTTTCTCTTTTCATTTCTAGCTGTAGCTAACAATGAGTATGTGTATGGCACTAAATTAGATATTCATTATCACTCTTACATAGGGCTTCTAGTTGTCCACCTGGCCTGCCTCATATTATCTCAGCTTTATGGTTTTTCAGTATTTATGTCTAAATCAGGTACAACTTGATCTCAAAGGATTGGAGCATTGTTACCCAGTTGGAGCAAGATAAGATAGTTATTACTTGATTCATAGAGTATGGCTCCAAATTGTTTGAATTTCATTGTTTGAAAGATCAGTTTTTCTCGAGCTTCTTAATAAAAGGCAATAATAAAGTCATCATACGATAAACTCTAGAGAGGGTGAGTGAAATGATTTTCCTTATGAACCCTTAGAGTTTATAATAGCATATTTTATCTTGGTGTATTTCGACCATAAGAATGATTCTTATATGTATTTTATTGCAGGGAATGGAATATGTAACTGTGGAAACTGTGAATGCTGGGATGGATGGAATGGAAATGCATGTGAAATCTGGCTTGGCACAGAATATCCTTAATAATTCCATGGGACAGAATGGGATTCTTATCTTCTTAGAACACTAGAACATATAAATACAAAAGAAACCGTGTATAACCCACATTAGGACTGATTGAATAGACTATTGTATGTTTTTTTCTATTTCTGACTTTCTGAATGAAAACTGGGTACCCATTTAAGATGAGTTCAGAAGACTCTGATACAAATAACACTAGAAAGAACTGTTCCTTCATAATTAATACTAGAGGTTCCTAGTGGGGGCAGTTTTGCACATAGAACACATTCAGCCATGTCTACAGACAGTGGCCATTGTCATATTGGGTGGGTGGGTATCTGATTGGTAGAGGTCAATGATGGTGCTAAACACTCTGCAGTGCTAAGAATGCACTGGAACCAAGAATTTCCTGGCTCCAAATACCCCATAGCACTGAAGTCGAAAAGCCTGAATTGCAGTATTTATAAAGCCATATTGCCACATGAGAATGGTCATGTTAGAATCTAAGGAAAAGAACCATTCTCATGTAAATCCATCAAGCAGATTTTCCTAGACTTTCTTATCACTCAATATCTCCAAGAGGAGACAATGAAGAGAAACACACAAAGGTTAGGGAGTCAACAAATTATGAGTGTGTCCAAAGGAAAAATCTTGTTCATGTAGCAGCTGAGTCATTGTCTATCTGGCTTTAAACTCACAAAAGAAGTTTCTTTTAAGATAAAGGAAGAAATTATGAAAAATGTACAATTTAACTTTTCAAATAAATAATGATGTAAGTTGTTCATACTCTGTGTCAATATATGTTTACCTATTGAAAAGTAACAATAATAATGAACTATTATTCAAGGATATTCGTCTTTAGGTTCCTAAGCTGTCACACTTTTTGAAATGGGGCAGTGATTACATGTGCAAGAAATATTTCTTTCACTATTTAATGTGGCCTTATAAAAAAGACAATATTTAGCTAGAAATATGATGAACCTGAAATATGTGTCAATTTCCCTTAAAAGAGTTATTTTTCTAAGGAAAAGTAGAGTCTTGCAAAGAAGCCAAAATAGCATGTGTAATAAAATGGCATCTATTCCAAAAGCCCAGAAAGGGACCAAAAAAAGGTAAACAGGGCTTAAATAGAAATTACAAATATTCATTCAGTGATAGAAAAAAATGTTTATTTTCTTAATGGTGGAACTTTGTTCTGTGTGGAAAATCACATTGAACTATGAAAATGTACAATTATTGGGACTTTCCTTACATATATACAGTTAGGTCTACTTATGTACATTAGTTTAGGCAACTCTAAATAATTTAGAGCTAAAAAGCCCACTTTTTTCCTGAATGTGAATTATTTTATAAAGTCCTAAAATGGTGTAGTAAAATCATTTCAGTGTTATTTTAAGATGAAAAAATTGACTTGGAAATATTATATTTATGATTTACATATTCTAGGATTATGGCTTGGAATTTATAAGCCAAATCATCAGAAACAAGGAAAATATGTGCCCACTGTTACTTAAAAACATAATATTGGAAAATATCTCAGAGAAAAATTAACTGGTGCTGATTTGTATAGTACTAACAATAGTCTCATAACTTGATATATTTTTTAAAATTCTCTCCATCCTGAGATCAGGGAGTTAGACTACATTAGATTTATCTGTATTACTGAGAATGTTCACTCATGCACCAGCTTGGTAAAATGAGGGACATGTGTATAGTCAGGAAACAATAAAGATCACTGATTCCTCTTTTCTATATAAATGCTTGAAGCCTCAAGCTAACCTACTATAATCGCTTAATAGCAAATTTGATGGTCTATTTGATGGGTACAGTACTGGGACCCATTGCATGATTCAGCCATCATACAACAAATGAATCTTCACTCTTCCTGACTGTAGTCCTCATGCTTCTGTAAATAACTGAATAGTAAAGATCAGACTTTGTGAGTCCCATTGACGCTAGAGCAAACTCTTTGGTTGATTTCACTGAATATTTTTTAAAAATACAAAATACAGTAAACAGCAGTGCATCCAGACACCCAGTCCTTATGAAGACAGACAGAGGGCTGGGGGTGGCCCAGAGCTGAGTGCTGTTTCTTAAACTTTGCTCCGCTGGAATTACCCATAATTCCTTGTAGCTCATCACCTAACCTCAGTTGTTTCTTGTTTTGTGACAGTCTTTCTATGCCATTCTCCCTCGTCATTACTAGCAGCAACAACAAAAGTATTCTTTTTTAAAATATTTTCATTTTTAAAATGTCCTCTGCATTGCTGTATACTAAGAAAAAGACTATATGTTGTAGAAGTTATTATACCATAAAATTCAAAATGTGATTTGTCCACATTTTTGATCAAAGATGAAAATATGTACAATTAATCATGTTGTAGGAATGAATTAAAACTTACAGAGCAAAACCTGAGCTATAACGTAAGTCATATGGTACCTGAACATTATTGAATCTTTGTTTTTCTATAAAAACAGAAATATTTTGTTTTCACTTCTTTCTGCCTACTTTGGTAATGTGTGTGTGTGTGTGTGTGTGTGTGTGTGTGTGTTTAACTGTAGCAAAGCCAACATTAATATACCTATAAAGAAGTGATGATTTTAAAATTTTTATATGCGGAAAACATAATTATGTGTAAAATTATACCAAATGTGTGAATTTGTTGACTTTTGATTTCATTACTAAGTTAGTCTCTACTCTAGAAAAAGGACACATTTGTAATTAGTGGAGGTGGGAGTCTTATTGTGGTTTTGGGAAATTGTGGTGAGGTTCATGTCAGTGGGGAAGGAGCCACAAAATTCGCTGATGTTGCTTGCACTAAAGCTACTTGTTTGGCAAGCTCTCACTGAGGAAAACCTCCACAGGACTTCACCTAAAGTCCCAAATTAAAGGCTCATTGTACCTGCCTTTCTGGGACTACTGAGCTTACCTAAAATCTAGAGCAGTGGTGCTAAAGTTTCCAAATGTGTGTTGCGGCAGGCTGTGTGCTGTCATCAAAAGCTCTAGGAGGTCCACAATCCCTGGGCTGGACTGTACTGAGAGCAATTATTTTTCCACCACAACTCTGACACAGTCTCTGCCGTAAGACATTAGAAACAGACTACATGATAACCAAGAAAGAAAAAAAAAAAACTGTAAATAATTAAACCTTGGTTTGAGGACTCAACAATCAAAACTTTGAACCACTACTCTATTCCAGAGTTAACAAACTCATGACACCTTGTAACCTAGCAAACCTGAGCTATGGAATATATTTCATTCCAAAGTAACACTATTCACATTGTTGACTTAAGTACGCCTGAATTTTGCAAAACAAGTAAGCCTTTAGATTAATTTTCTCTTCTTTCTAAAATAAGTTGAAAATAATTTTTATTTTTTACCTCCTCCTAATCTGAATATGAGTTAATCCTCCTCTCTCTCTCCTCTCTATCTCCTCTCTCTCTCTCTCTCTCTCTCTCTCTCTCTCTCTCTCTCTCTCTCTGTTATCCAACATTAATTACCTCTGTAATATTAGGAAGGAAACTATAAATGAAGTAATACATGTGTAACTGAACAAATTTTTTTCTTTTATGATTTTTGTTAAGAAAACTAAGCCTGCTACTATCATCTTGATACATTGATTGTTGCAGCATGTCAACCATTAATAAAACAAGTAGGCAATGTGATATAGAACTCCTATGACTTGTCATGCACTCAACAATTAGAAGCACTAGAACAGGAGTCCTTTGGGCCCAGTGTGTATCCAAACCACCCCTTCCCCAAAACAATAAAAACTCACAAATATTTAGAGCAAGAATCTCTAAATTCATAATGAAATGATGCTATCTTCTGCTTTACTGTACATAGCATGGACCACTTGCACGTCTTCTATAATTTTTTTCAAGGAGGGTGGTAGCAAATTTTAGAAAGTGGACTTATTATAAAATGGTGTCACTTAAAATATAAAAAGTTAACATTTTTGAGTATTGTTGGGGGTGGGCAGAGCACTCAGCTACCATAACGATCAGTAGGCATAACCCTCCCATACCAGATATGCATGCAGAAAGAATGGGCTATTAGAGAGACTTGATACAATGGACATAATATGTACATAGAGATACAAAACACATGGTCTATAAATACAAACAAATTCCATCAGATTTACTATATAGAACATCAAGAATGACAGATTGCACTGAATAACAGCAAACTTAATTTCTGAAAGAAAAAAATGATGAAGTCTTATCCTGGAAGAGTAGTAAGAGAGGTATCATCAAAGAGCTAAAATTTTCTTTGGCATGGTTAAGGGGGAGATGGAGTTTACCAACTTATTTACATGACATTTCTCTATATATGTGGGTGATGCAATGTCATTTTGTTACATAAAGTTGTTTGATGTTTATTCATATGCCTTCATATAAATAGTTTATTCAGTATGTTGTATTTGGAATACAACAAATGATAGTAAACACAGAAACTGTACAATGCAGACAAATGCATCATATGTAAATTGAGTGATACATACCAACAGTTCTTGATACACAAGTTCCTACTACATGCAGTTCGTCAGTGCTGTCCTCTTGCCATGCAACAGGTGAGATCAGACACGGAGTAAATGATCTAACTAAATTACAAGTAACAAGGAACCCTCTGCAATATGTCTAAACATGTATTAGAAGAAAGTACTCTGACATCCACTCATAGTGATAAATGCCCTTATAGAACACCCATTAAAAAACAAAGGTGAACATTTACATAAATCTCAGTCATTTACAAAAATAAATCTTATCTTAATTTTAACCAAGAAACAGGCTTGCAAGAGATAAAGAAACCACAAGTAGGCTGATTATCAAAAACATATAGTCAGGGGTGTGTGTGTGTGTGTGTGTGTGTGTATAGTGATGTGTTTACAAGCCCATCTAATTGGAAATATAAAGCATTCATAGTTCGCCACATATTATGAGATATATGTCTTTCCTAAATAATTGCTTAATGGATTTCATTTAGTACATTTTTAACTTATCCTGTTAAAAATAATAGGTTTTAAAATGGTATAACACCAAATCCAGGATGATCAAAAGAATAATCTTGCTGCATTTGTAGTTTAACATTATTGACAAATCTACTGAAATGTTAGCTAAAATTTTATTTATTAAAATGGAATCCAATATGAAAATGAAATAAGCATGAACATTGAATTTATACTGAATGTTTAATCAGCGAAGCAGACCAAAATTTTTCAATGCTGGGCAAGGGCTGCCATGGATATTCATGAAAGCAGTGACAAAATAATTTCCCAGTAAACACAGCGCAGATGGGGGCAAATGGCAACCGGGTTATCCTTCCACCTGGAAGTCATAAGAGGCCGTACATTGAGCTCACAGACTTTTTTTTTGCTGTAAATGAGGTTCAGTTGGTCTCAGTGAACTCTTTTGAGAAGAAAGCATTAGATTTTATTAAGAGTACACAGAGTTAAATATATTTCCAAACAGTTGAATATTAAACATTGTGAAGCTCATTATCCCCAATGTTGAACATTTTGCATGGACTCTAAACTGGGTAGCCAACTATTTCTGCTGCACGTCGGTACAGGTCTTCCCGAAGCACAGAATTTAGCAGTAGTCAATCAAAAAGGAAACTAAGAAAGCAAAATGAAAGCAAATAAACCATGGCCCCCAAACCTGATATTTGAGTGTGTCAGTTTGCCTTTAATTTTATGGAGGTTAACTCTGAGATCATGGAAAATCACCTCTAACCCAGCCAGGTGGCAACTGGTGGCCCAGGAGGCAGAGCTAGAGGTTTGTACTGGGGAGGTCCATGGTACCGGACTCAGCATGCTGAGCTCAAAAGTAAAAATATTTTTTCCTAATAGGTCCTGTTTAAAAACTTCTCATTAAACACAAGAAATATTAAAGTCTAATTTATACCTAACGTTTGCATTGCTGCTGCAGAAAAGAACTCAACAGCCGCCTTGCCCATGCGGGGTATGAGAGGAACGCAGCCCCAAACAGGATGGCATTCGTTGGGTTCATTAAAAACAGGAAGGAGTTGATTGGAAATGGATTTAGGTAGCGCAATTCATTGGAGGTTGTAATGATCGACCCCTCCCCCTTTTCCCCATAATGAAGATTAACAGATGAAAATGAACCTTAATCAGGCCTACAAGGCCTACAGAATTCTTTGGACCCACTTTCTCAAAAAACAGTGGGTCTCGCTCGCTGGGCAAGGCAAATGTTACCATTACCAGTAAGCTTGTGATATGTAGAAAACACACACACGTACACACACGCGCGCGCACACACACACACACACACACACACACTAGAGGGCATGTCAAACACATATGCAGAGCTTTCCATGGATGGTGTTTGACCCTCATCCCATCCAGCCAATGCCAACTTAGGGAGCGCAGTATCTGCTACCGGATAGAGAATATATGCATGTTTAATCAGTAATGTGAGCCAGAGACAACATTTTTAATCTTTAGAGATGCAATTTGTAATAACAGGTGTAGAAGGCTTCCTGATTCCCTGATTGCTCTCCGAACTAAGCCAACTGCAATATCTCAGATTTAGAGGAACACGATCCCTGCAAAAGGTCACAGACAGTGGAGCGAGCAGCCCTGTAAAAATGAGGAGAGAAATCCATAATAGCACAGTTTTACAGCTTCTAACTAGAAATTACTCAATATTATTGGTGTGCTACAAAATCGAACTTAAACACATGGATTTTGCTGAAACAGGACTCAAAAAGGATTATGGGTAGCTGTCAGCAGGCAAGGAATCGAGTACTTGTGAAGTATGTCATTCACATGAAGTGTCACAGTCACAGAAAAGATAGTAAAAAGGCATTCCATATCTGGCAGGGCATTCCATGGTCTGAGTTTAGCTGGTTGTCCAGGTGTCTTCTTGTGTGGGGGGCCACAGGTTGAGATTTATCCATTTGCAACAAAGAAGTTCTGGGATAGCAAAGGGAAAGCATTCGCGTGCTTCCCGCCTGCTCCTCAGCCCTGGGAGAGGAATGTCTGGGAAGGATAAATTGCTCAACTGTGCTCAGGACGAGAAAGTCACACCACCTGTGAGGGTCTGGCTATGTGGTCTTGCTCTTGTTGACAGGTTTGCCTCCATTCATTATTGCCGACGCACTTGTGCTTTTACTTGGCGTCACCCCAGTTTTCGGGACCGTTTCGCCGACATCATGCAAGGATGGTTCTCGGTACATGGCAACTGACGGGAAGAGAGGAGGAGGAAAAGGAAACATTGCCTGGTTACATGCAAGAATGGCCCAGCTGTGCATGCAAAGGAACTCAGTAGGCTGCCCATGTTTCTCCTCTTCCCCCATGAAAATAATCCCGTGTGTGTGTGTGTGTGTGTGTGTGTGTATGTGTTCACTCTCAGATTCTCTAGATTATGTACTCAAATATGAGCATTGTTCACATGAACACACACACACACACACACACACACACACACACCCCAACCATTTAAAGAAAAAATCTTCTGGTTCCCTTTCCACTACACACTGATTCAACACTTCAACTTCTTATTTCAATTCTTTTTGAATTGAAGTATTTACACCCTAGATCATTAAATTATTTTCCTCCCAAGTGGCTCAAAAGCAACGTAATCACTCTAGTGTCAGCTTCAAAGCAGTAACAAAGAACTTCCTTTCCTTAAGCCAGGGCCTTCCAGAGATGATTGTTTTGATTTCATTTCCCATACTCTTGGAAAGGGAACCTTAAACAACTTTAGGCGACTGTGGATCCTTTACATTTTTTATGCCTCATTTTCTGTTATATTATTAAAACTCTAATAATAGAGACATCATTCAGGGCAGAAGTGGAGAATGGCAAGACAGCGACAGAGAATAATGCCTGAGAGAACTGTCGGAATAATGACTAGGGACAAAATCACATGGTTCATGAGACAGTCTAGAAAATGAATTCAGAGCCCTGGGAAAGGCTTTGGAGTCTGTGATAGACTGGAAGAACTAGTGGAGTTAGAGCCCTCTATCATCAGAAGCACAAGTAAATAAGCTACCTTCCTGCTTTTTAGGCTGAAAAGATTTAAGGTTAGCTATGAAGAGCCCTTATGCTGAGTTAGGATAACAGCTTTACGGGTCGTCCATGTGCATGGAGGCAGGCTTTTGGTTTTTACATCAATGCATCAGGTGAATTTTCAGCAGCTTTCAGATGAAAAATGCAAATGGACATTGGGCTATATTAAATGCCTTGGTAAATTAATAGAAGGAACTAATCTGCATCCTTGAAATATATCCACTTTCTTACCCCCATGACTAAATTAGGAAGTAACAGCGTCAAATTATCAATACACCAAGGCCTAGAAGGTGGACAGGAGCCTGACTGAAGTTCAGGTAGGAAAGTGTCATTGGTAGGTTGGGAAGCAAGTACAACTATGGCAACCCATTGGGATCAGTCAGAACTTGAAGTGGAAAGAATGAGATTAAGTTTAGATATCATGAGCTCCTTAAATGAAAATAGAGGTTTTCAAACTAGGAGTGAAAATGCCATCCCAACTTCTAACCTGTTTTTAACTTTAATAAGATAAATATTTACCATCATAACCATATAAAAAGGCCTTTCAGAGTATCTGCTTCAAAAAATACAAGGAGTCTGGAGATCGATGTGCCAATATGGAGTATCCCCAGCCAGAACAGGTTTTGTCTTGTTGTGACCTTGAAAGGGGCCATCTCTAGCACTTACGTGAGTTCCTGGTGGGGCCTGAGATTTTAGTTTTTGTAGTACAGAAAGGTGGCTTTGGTGACCTCAAGGACTTTGACCCTAGTGCGCTTTTCTTTTCTTTGCTGCTGTTTTCAATTCTTTAAATAAGACTTTTGAATAGCCTCAAAATCAATGTTTATGGACCTCAACAAACATTACATAGATAAAAGTAAGTGACCCTTCTGGCAGAGTTTAGTGAGAAAGGCACAGATTTTTCTAATTAACTGACAGAAGTTTTTATCCTGTTCCTTTGGATATGATCACACTAAATGTGAAAGCTCCATTGTTTACAAAACATGCAGATAATTTTTTTATTTATGGATTTGGAAGAAGATATATAATGTCCATAGGATCTTTAATGGTAAAGTTACTATCCCTTTGTTTTTTAAAATTATAATAACTCACAAATATATAATTATTTGTACCCTAATTATAAAAATGGGTGCTTTGAATTTCATATGCAAAATTTATTTTTAATATACTTGTACATTAATGATACATTGTTATAACATTACATATATAAAGTTTTTTTCAGTTAATGAGTTAAAATTACCTTGAAGTTGAAGTGGTTGTGGCGAATGGGAACAAGTATCCCAATGCATGTCATTAGTAGTACAAACACACACATGTACTTTTTATCTCTCTCTCTCTCTCACACACACACACACATACACACACACACTTACATACTCACACACAGTTTCACCCACACACTCACCCACACTCACACACACACACAAAGTGCTTGAAGACCACACTGTTTCCTCCCTCCCTTCTTCCTTCATTTCCTTGTGGTTTGAACCCAGGGCCTCACCCATGCTAATCAACACTGAGCTACAATTTTAGACTCAGAAAGCGTAAGTGAACAATTTTAAGTTCACATTTGTACAAGCATCATCTGGATCAAGCTAAAGGATATTTGGAGCACAGAGAATTCAGCACAGGAAATTCAACTCTATGAAGGTCCCCTTTAGCCAGGGAAGACTTAGGAATGTGAAAACTAAAAGGGATGACAAGTCTGACAAGGATACTGCATGCAAACACTCACCTTCCAATGGCTTGGGTAGAAAATGAGCTGCTGGTTTGGTTTTCTTTACTCTGTTCCCCTTCATAGCTTGCCCTTCCTTATTTAATCCCAAAAACCAGGCTCTTCCAGATTCCTGTTGTCTGTACAGCATGGAGGAGTAGATTACATAATAGTTTTCAAAAACAGACTCTTTGAACTTGCATTCAGGGGTAAAAAGTTCCTGTTGAGAGAACAGAAAAGAAAGTTAGTGGAAAGAACTGAATTTCCACAGTGATTTCTACTCAATCTTGGAAATTCACCCAACATAGGGAGAAAACAGAATTGCGGCAGCAATGGCTAGATATACTTCTTCTGAAGAAAACATTTGTGTATTTACTTTTTTCAAAATAAAAAGAATTAAGAAGACTCTGTTATGTCAGGAATACATGTACTCAAAATACGGATACCCTTTAATAAAATAAATAGAAAACATAAGCAACCTGAATCCTTTTACTAAAACTAAAGTTCAACCAGTTTATAAACAGACAAAGAACATTAAAGTCCCATCCTATATTCACAATAAAGTCAACAAAAAACAAAATATAAGCGTCAGGTATTTTGTAGTCTACATAATTTATGTATTAGGAATAATCAGGTAATACTCTGAACAGTTGCCACTTGTTATTCTAATCAATGTCATTGTAGGCTGGTACATTTTTCCTATAAAACACTCAATTGAAATTCCAAAACAAAACCATGACAATGAACAGGTGCACAATTTAGCCACAAGAGATTTTGCTGTGTGGCCAGCTGAGGCCAGAGGTCACGTTAGCTAATCGCAGTGGAGTGAGTTGATAGCAATTACTGAAACTAATTCTGTGCCATTGAGACCCATCATGATGCTAGAAAGGAAGTATCAAGAGCTGGAGTGAAAGAAAACCACCCAAAGTCTTGAGGAAGAGTGAAGTGTGTTAAGTACCAAAAGGCTCAGCCAGGATCCTCACTGATTGATATGCAGCAAAAAGCTTACTAATTTTGCATTATTATTAATATCAGAAATAGTCATAGATAATGATATGTAGTTCATAAAAATTAGTATTTTGGAATGAATAATAATGAATATGATGATTAATGTATATATAAAATGTATAAAGTTACAATCTACATATATTTTGATGGATGCTTATTAAATGTAATTTAAAGACTGAATTTCCTAATGCACACCATGGAAGGCAGTCAAGCAGCTTTTGTCACTGTTTTAAATAAACTTAACACTGGGCTATTCCTTATGTACATGAAACACAGACATAAAACACCTTTATTTGAATTGATCCTTTCTAATAAAATCACTATATTAAGCACAGATTTTTATTTTACCTCAATATATTTTGCCATTGTAGGAAATAAATTTTGGGTTTTTTTTAATGTTATACATAGATTCAGAAAAAATATTTAGGATCTCAGGATAAAAGTATCTAAGGTGAATTTACAATAACTGTAGTAAAGAATGTGCCATAATTGCACATAGTAAATTTCTTTTAGTGTTTCCCATAGAGTCATTAATCCAATGATGTTTCTAGCAAAATGTAATTTATGTGCTTCATGACTAATTTACTGAAAGCAAATAGCTTTCCAAGTGGGATGAATTTTTTATTTATTTTTATTTATTTTCTTTTATTTTAGGGAA